TCCCTCGAGGCGCAAGACCAGCGATGCCTGTGTGTGTTGTCTATGTTGATGCTGGCATTAGAGGCCAATGCGTCAGCTCCGACCCACAGCGACCCCGTGCACAACAGAACGAAACACTGCCCGGTCCTGCGCCCTCCTCGCCATGGTTCCCATGCCTGAGCCCACCGCTGCTGCCACCGTGTCTGTCCATCTCACAGGGGGCCCCCCTCTTTTTCACTGCCCCTCCATTTTACCAAACATGATGTCCTTCTCCAGGGACTGGCCTCTTGTGACAACGTGTCCAAAGTATGTGAGAGGGAAGTCTTGCCGTCCTTGGCACTGAAGTGCATTCTGGTCTTACTTCTGCCAACGTCGATAGGTTTTTCCTTTTAGCAATCCATGGGACTTTCAGTATTCTTCTCCAGAGACTGATATCAAGAAACGGCTCACACAGTTGTAGAGACAGGTAAGTCCAGGCTGGTTCAAGTGAGGCTTCTCCTGACACCTGTAAGCCGACCAACAGGAAGCAAGAGGATGAAGCAGAGAGCAGGGAGCATGGGCCGGTGGATGCCGAGATCAGAAGTCGGCTGGATGGATCCGCCATCAGTAGTGCACTGGCAGCTCCTGGGATCAGCAGGAGACGGGGAACCAGACACAAGATCCAGCTCTGGCAGAAGGCGAAGAGGACCACAGCAGATTCCACTCTGCTCCATCTCTCTCTCTCATGCAAAAATGCTGAAGACACCGAGGCAGTGCCATCAGTCTGTGGCCCAATGGATAGGTTGAGTTCCGCCCCTACCTTGACCTGGGAGTGTCTAGCTGACGTCATCCCTAACCGTCACCGTCGGTCACCCGAGGGGCAAAGGTTCTAGCAGGGTTGATCGACTTGGAAGGAATGCTTGGCTATCAATCGGCTTCTGAAAAGTATCCAAGGGAAACAGACTAGATCACAACAGAGCCATGTCCAACTCGCTTTGTATCTATCAACAGGAAAGACCACACCTGGAGGGATGCCGCCATTGGCTTATCGAAGCAGAGGGCCGGGGAACGTGAGACGGGCAAATCAGATGAGTAAAGGAGATGGGCAAAGCAGCATTGGGTGGTCACCAGTAAAACCCAGGCCTGAGCAACTGTTCCTTCTGCTATGCAATAGGTTGCCATGAGTTAGAGACAACAGTCAACAGGCATTGTCTACTGATAGGAACTTATTTTCACTGTAAAAGCAATGGGCTGGGAGTAAGAACAGGGGGAAAACTTACTACATTAATCTGAGTCAAAAGACACCTGGAATGGTGGTGGTGGTTGGTGGATGCCATCGAGTCAGTCCTGACTGACAGTAACCCCATGCCTCACAGGAGGGAACACTGCCCAGCCTGACACCGTCCTATGCGAGTGAAAGTTGGGCACTGAATCAGGAAGACTGAAGAATAAATTGATGGGTATGAACAGTGGTGCTGGAGAAGAAT